GTTGCTATAGAATATCAGTACTGTATTGCTATAGGACTGTTCCACACTAAGTAGACATAACATCTATTAGTAATAGTGAGAGCCTATTTATAAGATAGAAGAAAACGCATTACGTGATGATCCTGAAGTATACTAATTACAACGAGATTGAGTAACCGTAAAAATACTGTCATTAGACGTTAATTGAATACCTACGTCACGATTATACCTACCAGGAGCCTGATCGTGACACTGTCATCCAATAAAGACTATTATTATTTATTTTGAATAGGGACAAGAAACAATTGATTATATTTATATTTTTCTTCTATTCTATTATATCTACTAAGAGGACATGACATTTTATTTGTAGTAATTTTTTCACATTGAAATATGTCACATCAATAATCTGATATTTGACAATACAGTTTTGTAATAATTTTTAATAACAATTATATATATAAAATATAAATGAATAATTTATAATTATTTAAAAATAATAAATAATATATTACCTGGCTATTTCATTTACTATAAAAATGATTAGTAATTAATTATTTAACATATCTGTTATATATTCAGGTTGATTTTTATTTAAATAATTTTTTAATGCATTTTTTAGTTTATTTTGCAAAGAATATAAATTGATTGAAAAGAGTTACTTTGTCACATTCATAAAGTATGATTATAAATTTAAAATATTGATAAAAATTAATTTGACTTTTAATTTAAAATATTAATTATATTAATTTGACTCAATCTAATTTTATAATTATGAAAAATATACATCAAAAACCCACAGTAAAAGTTCTTTTTCTTTATCATTATATTGTTTTTTTATTTCATTCTTGATACCATATAAATTATCACTAAGCTCTTTTATAAGAAGATATAACTCTTTATATTGAGCAAATAAATATTCATCAGTTTTATAATAATGATGATGATGTTCTAAATTAATATATAATAATTAATATAAGATCAATTTAAAAATATTTAATATCTTCTAGTTGTAGATGAATTAAAGATTAATGATATTTTCTCGATATGTTCAAATTATTTCAGTATTGAAATGAGTTTGATTGTTGCGTATTATGATTATTACAATTAAAAGTAGATACTAATATTCAATTAGAAGTGAATACCAATGAATGATTAAAAGTGAATATCAATAATGGTGATATTAGAATATAATTATGTGTTTCTAGTTTTTTAGTATATAAGTAAATAATATAAAATGGTCTATATAAATTATATAAAATTATTATCTTTTTTTCTACACATATTTAAAATTGAGAAAAAAATATGTTTGAATAAAAAGTTATAAAATCAAGTCACAAGAAAAGAAATATGCATATTGTTTTATGCTTTTATAAATAGAGAATACATATGAACTATCTTGAAGTAATATTTTATAGATAATTTCCTTCTATATTTTTATATTTGAAGTAACATTCTTATTATATAGATATATTATTTTAATCAGCAATAAAAATTTTTTTAACTTCTAAATGATCAGATATATTAATTAATTATAAAATAATATATAAAATTATATTTTTCATTTAAAGTAAGAGATTTAGAGAGTTAATATTTGATCAATTATTATTTTTAGATATTAGTAATAGATTATAATTGCAAACAAATATTATCTTCTAATAATGGAATAATATATATTATAATTGAATAATAAATTCAGATCATAATATTAGAAATAGATTATAATCATCCACATAATATTAATTTTCAATAATAGAATAATATATATTATAATTGAATAATAAATTTAGATCATTATAAATTAATAATTATTAATTAAATTATATAAACAGTATCAAAACTCTAACAAATAATATTATAATAATTTATATATAAAATAAATCATCATTTACAATTAAGTCACTTTAAGATATAATAATTTGGTTACTATTCAATAAATTGCAATATCTCTTTACTAAATAATATGAATGATAATATTTTTAAATGATTCTAATTAATTGTAATTAAGCTATTGAGTTCAAAAACTAAATTAAATACTTGCAATAATAATGATTAACTTTAAGAGGCAAAAACTCAATTATTAACTAATTGAAATAAAATAAATATTACGCAATTCTATAAATTAGACTAATAAATGATAACAATTTCAAATAATAGATAAACAGTATAAAAATTTATCAAGAAAAAATATTTAGAGGTAATTTTTTTAGTTAATTTTCATTATAAGATAGGAGCTCAGTAGAAGAATGGTAAAATAAATATGATCAATTCAATTAGCTTGCAATATATTATTTTATGTAAATGCATAATATATCAATCAAATAAATATAATATATATTAACAAACTAATGATTAACATTGATCATGATTGTATTATCCAAAATAAAACTGATTTTTAACAATATTCAATTAGAAACTGATTTTTAACAATACTCATTAACAATCAATCATTAACATTCTCACCAATTAATATTTAGCACGATTATATTTGAATACTAATTATACATATTGGTAATTGATTGCAAATCACTTCAATTAGCAATTGATTATTAATACTTTAACTAATTAACATTGAACATGATTACAAATGATTGCAAATTAATCATGTTCATTGACAATTGAGCATTAATAATTCATTGATTAATAATGATCGTGGTTACAATCAATTATCAATATACCATTATTTTCTATCACTAGCAGTTGCAATCAATTGCTAATGATGTTCTTTGATGATTTTTTATTACAATCAATTGTCAGCAATTATAATTGATTATAATCACTAATAATTGATTGTAATCCCTATTGATAATGAATAATGAGAATGTTGATAATTGATTGCCAATGGGTATGATTATAAATCAATTGTCAATAGATATAGAAATTTTCTGATGTTATATTTACAAAGCACAAACACTCTTCTAAAAATATATAGGTCACTCTACTAATACAATCACTTCTCCAATCAATAATATTTACAAAATATATATAAAACTAGATTTTTACAAGTGCAAATTTTTTGCTTCAAATTATATTAATAATTAATATTCTAATAAAAATCTTGTCAATATTCAAGAAGATAACTTTTTTAATTCATTTTCTTCAAGCAAAAAATAATTTATTTATTAATTCTATAGATTTTAATTAATTACAGATATTACTTGGATAACTAGTTAGTTACATTGTAATTTTTTATATAAAATTTTTGGTGGCTCTTTATCTTATTTTTTTTAATTTGTAATTTTTATTTTGTAAGTTAAATTAGCTTTAAACTTAGAGTGTGACTATTAAAAATGAAATTGTAATTTTCTAATTGATTATCATAATTAATCATAAAGTAAATTTAAAAATAATAATTTTAATATCTATATTTTATTAATAAAATTGCATGCATAATTTTATAATTTTGTTAGCTATCATATATTAAATGATTATTTTATAAATTTGAAATATTAATAAATTTAATTATATAATTAAATTATTTTTATTATATTTATATTATATAAAATTTCCAATATATATAATTACACTTTTTTCAAGAACCAGTTATAAAATTATTTTTTTAGTCACATATGAAAACAATTACTATTGAATTTAACAATGTAATTATAAAGCAAATTGATTATATATATATATTAATATTTTTATCAAATAATTTAATAATTAATAATCACAATACATGTATTAATGTTTATATATACATATTTGATCAATTAATACAAATTTTGATTATGCGAAAAATAACTAAAAATCGTAATTAAAATAATGAATTAATAAATAAATGATATTAAGTGATTAGTGAAAATTTTTATCTAAATGTCTACTTTTGAAATTATATCTACAAATTTCTATGATTTAAGGCAAGAACCTGATGTTTCAGATATATCATTGTCAGTCATAGGTATTTTCTTACCATCTGATTTATATTTTGATACTGGCATGGTAGATTCTATTATCGTTGTAGTTGACAATGAAGGATCAGTAAGAGCCTTTGATGTTGGAGGTGGTGGATTGTGTGTATGATGCGGTCTAATTACATGGTAATTATGTTGATGTACGTGATGTTCGTGTTTAGGAGTGGCTCGATTATGTTCCATGTGAGATTTTACTAGATGTCCCGCGGCAAGTGCTGCACAAAGACTAAGTTCACCAGCCATAACAGCTGCACAAATAATTCGTGCAAGTTTTTGGGCATTTGCTCCGGGTGTTGTTGGATGAGGACCTCGCACGCCTAGCATATCTAATACTGCACTTTGGGGTGGGAGTGTAGTTCCGCCGCCTATTGTGCCAACCTCTATTGAGGGCATAGTACAGGTTAGATGCAAATTTTCACCGTTGTCAATGCTAGATAGAATTCAAACTCAAATTAATATATATATATATATGGAAAAAAATTAGGGTTAAAAATATTTTAAATAGACTTACGCTTTCATTAAAGTCATACAGTTTGAGCTTTCAACATTTTGTGCAGGATCTTGGCCAGTCGCGAGATAAATAGCAGTCAATATGTTGGCAGCATGTGCATTGAAACCTCCTATTGATCCTGCCATTGCCGAACCAATCAAATTTTTTGAAGTATTTAGTTCCACAAGTGCTGTAACACTTGTTTTTAATATTTTTTCTACAACAGATCCCGGTATTACTGCTTCTGCGACAACTGATTTGCCTCGTCCTTCTAGCCAATTGATAGCGGCTGGTTTCTTATCCGTGCTAATGCGTTGAGAATGATTAATTTTTATTGTATATATAGATGAATTCAATTATTTAGATTATTTGTTACTTACCAATAATTGCCGGAAATTGAAACGATTTGCATATCGTGGAAATATTCGGATAATACTGATAATGCTTTTTCGCACCCTTTCGAAATCATGTTCATTCCCATCGCGTCACCGGTAAAGGTAGCAAATCGAATGAAAAGTAATTTACCAGCAAGTGCGGTCTTTAAGTCTCGAAGACGAGCAAATCGTGAAGTAGAATCAAAAGCCTGTTTGATAATAGCAAACCCTTCATTCTCTATCCATAATTTGGCTTCTCCGGCGCGTGTTATGTTAGGGAACTCAACACAAGGACCACGAGTCATACCATCTTTAGTTAGAATTGTTAGAGCGCCACTTCCCGCATTAATTGCTTTACAACCACGGGAAGTTGAAGCAACAAGACAACCTTCTGTAGTAGCCATGGGAATATGTATTGATGCCCCATCAATATTTAGTGGGCCAGCCACACCAACTGGAATTGGCATATACCCGATAACATTTTCACAACATGCACCTACGACTTTTTCATAATCGTAATTTTCCACTGGTAATAATGAATTTTCTAATGATTTGGTTAACGAGATCCTAGAAATCAAAACCCGACGTATTTTCACAGCTCTTTCCAAATTCCCTAAAGTTTTTTCTAATGCGTATTGCGCGATTTTGCCATTCATCGCCAGTTGCAATATTTCATCGTCATTTAATGCTGATGGGCCTTGTTCTGGCGTTTTGAGTATCTTTAATAGTTCGTCAATAGAACGAGATTTTGAAGGTGAATCAACATGTTTAGTCAATGAAATTGATGATTCCGTCTTTTCTTTTTGTTCAAATATATCCGAAGTTGCGTTAACAGCCATTACTGCCGTGTTACTAACGTTCTTTTGAGGATTTGACGATATATTCTCAATTTGACGTGTTGAATTACTATGCGTCTTCTTTTCTAATATAGCAACAGTCGAGGAACTTGAAGAACCTTTCTCTTGAATATTAAGCTCAGTCGAGGAACTTGAAGAACCTTTCTCTTGAATATTAAGCTCAGTCGAGGAACTTGAAGAACCTTTCTCTTGAATATTAAGCTCAGTCGAAGATTTTGAATATCTTGTAATATTATGAGCTGCTTTTGAAGAGTTCAATAAATATACATTCAAAAAAATTGAAAGAGATAATCCTAGCGAAATCCATTTTGATAAAACTGGATCTTGTACAAAATAGGACCATAACTCCATGACTGAATCTACACTTTTATAAAGTGTTTGAAATATAGGATTATTGCCACCTTGAGTCGTACTAAAAATCAATGGTGCTGCGATATCAACAATCAGAGGCAGATGAGCATTAGAGCTCTTTTTGTGATATTCGAGGAGAGTATTAAGAATTAATGTATTTGTTGGCTCATTTACTTCTACTTGCTGTTCATCTATTATATTCAAATTTTGTCGTGGATTGGATTCGTCATGTGTGTGAAGCGTAGTAGCATAATTCATCACGTGCATAATTACAAATCCAGCAATCTAATAAGTAAGAACTCATTTTTATATTTGTAACTGGATATTTCGATAATTCAAGAGATGAAAATCAATGTAAATAATACTTACGATCAACAATTTAACACGGGCAATCATAGGATTGTCGTATTTCTTTTTTGCGTCAGTTTCGACCGTATTATCACGAAATGCTTTCATGATATTTTGTCGGATATTAGCCGGGCTACTTGTTATTTCGTCTTTGTCACCTATGCTTTTTTTAACGGGAGTTTGACGAATACGGTTTAACTATTTAATAAGAATAACAGGAACATGATTAGGATGTTATCATGAGTCTATAATAAGAGGAAGAATCAAAACATACCTCAAGCTTTAGAGTCAGCATAGCAGTATAAAAAGTATATAGAAAAAGACAATCGTATAATAAAATGAAAGCGCCTAAAAAGCAAAATTCTTGTAATCCAGTAACACCGGACAAAGCTCCAAATACTAAGACCGCGATTTCAATCAAATAGTCTCGAATGATTGAGGGGCTAGACTTATGGACACCCTCCATGATATTGTCTCGAACATTATTCGGGATAGTATCCGAAGAATTGGCTTCTTCATATTGAGTTGAGTCTCGATTTGTAGATGAGGCCTGGAGAACAGCTTTTGTTAAGTTAACTGGTTTTTCGAAACCTACGGTAATAGTTAAGAAAGGAATTGCCTCACTAAATTCATATAATAAAAGAATACATATATATTAATGCATGAGATTCATAAGATCCATGTAAACATTAAATTGAGCATTAAACTTGCCTTAAGAGAATCGGATTAACCCAGACACCAAACAAATTGATAGTCAATATTGCGCACATGAAAGCGAAAAAGCCATTTGCTATTACACACATTGCTATATGGTAAATGACAAAAGAAAATAATATTGGTTTATTGCATTATAAACTAAGTAAAAAATTTAAAGGAGTACTTACCAAGGACATATCTAGATCCAATTTTACGCATATTCAAAAATAAGGCCAAGAATGTGAGGTGCATCAGAATATACCCACCCAAAATAACCAAAATATCAGTAGTATCAGCTTTCTAGAATTGAGTTAAACAAAGGAAAAAGAGAAACTATCATTAAGTTAAAAGCTATAATAATAAATTAAGTACAATAATAAATTTAAGCACTTACGTTCATTAATTCCCTAACTTTTAAGATAAGATTTCCAGCCGAGAATGCCAAAGACGCGAGAGATCCTCTCTCTTCATTTAATTGATGGTTTTTACCGTTTGATATCAAATGATCATTATTATATTCGGCGACTTTTTGTTCCCATAAATTCGCCCAATGTGCATGATATGACCCATTATCATTGAATGCATAAGTCAAAAGTAACGAAGCGACACCGTGATTTGATTTAATTGTTTCTGCGTTTTTCAAAAGTTCACCGTATATTAAATTGTTGCGTTGATAAGCAATGGGTTCCTCTACGCTTAAGATATCAAAAGCTTGATTCCAGATAGCCAATGAGGTAGCCGTGAAACAGGTAGAATCACTTAATTTATGGCACAAATCATCATTAAAGTATAATTTGTTTGTTCCGTCAAGAACAAATAATTCATTCTCAATTAAATTCTGAAACCGTGAAACTATTTCAAGTACATTTGAGTTGAGGATGCTATGTGTAGTCGAGTCAGCTTTAAAGTGCTTCAATGGATTTGATAAGAGTACTTGTTTGAGTTGTACGCGAGTTGCTTGCGTGATAAAATCATTTTTCGTTAAAGGAACAAATTGATTAGTCTCGGGCCAAGCGATAACTTTTGTTGGTTCGATGTTTGGCGTTTGGTTTATCACGTAACTTGACTCAATAATAGACCTGAAAAGTGAAGCATAAGCGAAAGAAGCGATAATTAAACAAAGTACAATCGTTTCTATTGGGTTTTTAGAAGACCGCATTGCAGCCTTCCAGAATAGTTCTTTTGTTGTCTGTAACATTTAAGATGTTATAGCGATAGTAGAAGGGTTTAAAATTAAAAATAATGATTCTTGATTATTTTTAGCGTTATTTATATCAATGGATCAGATTTAAAATGAAAGAAATGAATAACGACAAAGCAAGCATTCCGATTTTTAAACCGCCGAACTCATGACCAATTGTGGAAATTATTTATTACTATTATTGTTATTACTACCATTACCGTTATTATTACTATTATCTTAAATAAGACAATGCCATATTGCATAATACGTATTAGGTATTACATAATACGTATTAGGTATTAATGATTGTCTGTTTGTGTTCAAAATGAACACGAGTGCTGTCAAAAAGTCAAAAAAGTAACCAACCCAATCCTTTTTAGTTTTAAAGTTTTTCGTGGATATATACCAAAAAAACCCTGTTCTTCTAGTTACAGGAGGCTAATTCTAACGAGCAGCAAGAAATTCCAGTTCCATCACAAAATTATAAAGCTTTTCCGAGAAACTTACGGATCTTTTCTCGATAAAACCAATCTAAAGTTTTATTTCAGCGTACACATGCAGTATCGGTATGAAGATGATTAAAAAGTTCATTCCGGAACTTGATTAATAATAAGGTTACAACTCTAATTCTGTTCCTGATCCTGATTCTAATTTTATAACTTGCTTTTGTATATATATACGTATCTAGAGTGACTGGTCATTATTTAGTAATAAAAAACCGAGATTTCTAAAAACTTGGTCCGTGGTCTGAGACCGATATGACATCAATATCATATGAATTTAAATTTAAATTTAAACTATTTAAATTATAGTAATCAAAAATGATAACGTATCAAAAACTGTATTAATAAAGTGAAAGTTTTGGATTTTCTTCAAGTATGACATATGACCAAAAACTCTCCCTTTATTATTCACAGTCATTTATGACAACTCCTGGCCAAAATATACCGAACCGATAGTGTCATATTAACTGTATCTAATAAATTAACACACATTCATACCGTAAAACGCTCTGTATAACCCCCCCCCACCCCCTTATAAAGTACTTTTGCACAGATATTTTTTTTTATTTATAGATTTGTATCACTTAAATTAACAAAACTATCATCTATGTATTAGAATAATTTTTACAAATAATGAATCTCTTCTAAGAACTGAATAATTAAATTATATTCTTAATTCTATCATTATCGTTATGTTCTGGTTTTATCATTATTATTTTGCAAAGTATTAAATTAATCCCACGAATCGTTTTGAGATTATATAATCTCAAAACGACTATTATAGTCTTAGGTGTGTGGCGTGATTCATGTTTTAGGCCACACCTCAGGGTGGTGCGTTTTCTGTTTCATGCCACACACCTGAGACTATTATAGTCTGCAAATCTATGTGGTCTGGTCGGTAGTGTGATTCACATTTTAAGCCACACACCAAAGGTGTCACGATTTATATTTCATGACACATTAAGGCCATTATCAGCAATTAGGAGATAAAAAATTTAGATTTCAATGAGGTTTTTGCTATTGGATTTTTTCATTGATGTATGGTGCATAACATCTAAAGTCATCAAACGTTTGTGTTTTATAAAATGTATAAACATCTTTACTAAGAAGTAAATATAAAATTTAATCCGTGAATATGCTCAGAAAGGGCCTATTCTATCATATTCACGGATTAAATTTTGCATTTACTTCTTTGTAAAGATGTTTATACATTTTGTAAAATACAAACGTTTGATGACTTTAGATGTTATGCACCATAGCCAATTTATTTTTATTCCTGCAAGGGGATCCGATGATATCAATTTTTCTTAAATATTTCATGTGGAGTGATGGCGATTATGGTCCTGTTGAATCCCACAACTTGCCGAAGCAAACTCGTGACAAGTAGTTTAATCTTGATAAATTTTTGTAATTTCAATAAGTTTTATATTGTTTTAAATTATATTTTATAAAATAGTAAACTATATAATATAAATCAATGAATTGACATGACTCAGAGTCAAAAAAAAATGCAAATTATTCTCATCACTATAATTCCTATTCTGTTACTTGCCCTCCTTATTCTGTTACTTAACCTCCCTCTTATCTTGTTTATGCTTTTTCTATTTGGGGCTGTTATAATCTTACCCGGTATGAAATTAGACTATGATCGGTGAAAACATTTATACTATATGATCTCTAATACAGGACATCTTTTTGATACAGGTTTATATCTCACAGAGCCTTGGAGGAAGCGATTTCTACTGAACGTTCCACGCCCTTGCCTCTCGAAGCTCCTGATTGTTTTAAAGTTAGAGGGTTAGAAAAGGTTGGGCCGAACTTACAAAAGACGGGAGAGGTTAGATTTACTATTACCATTTTTTAAATATTATTAGTATGTATTAAAGACTATTTATATATCATGCAATAGATTTCCGCCAAGAGATCTGGTATAGAACACATGTCGATTTATCGAGGAGTAAGTTTTATTTTTTCTTATTGAGAAGATACGATTAATTAATTGGATGCCTCTAAGCTACTCGCATCATATTTATTTTTCAGAAGGAATTACTCCCTTGGAACACCTTGCCAAATATTTAAAACGCGAACGAGTAAATCTAGAAACAGATACAGAAGACGAAGACATCGACCAAGAACAGTAATGCCCCCTCGTCGACAGGTCACACCGGATCGAATTGCTCTCTGATATGGAAGGCTTAAGTGCTACAAAGAAAGAGATTATGGTTCAAGCAATATTGGACATTGCTAATGCAACAGCAGATTAAATATTTTCATGTAACTTCCCCCAAGTCATATTTCCTATAAGAACAAGAACAATATACATAAATATAAACCGATCTCAGTATGTGGATGTAAGATTTACCTACAGGCGCAATAAAGTCAAAATTACGGGTGTCTTTACCTCCTAATTAGTTTTTAATTGATTGCTATAGTAATGTAAAAAGAAATTTGCTTTGTTATGATTAAATGTAAATATTAGATGTATTACTATTAGGGATCATTACGTTTCTACTGTCTGTCATAATTGTGCACCATTTTTTTTGAAAAAATCCGTCCTAATAAAAATTCCGTCCTGGTTTCGTCCTAGTAAAAAAAAAATTAACTGGGACGGGTTTTGATATAGGAGAAAGAATTCTAAATCTTTTTTATCTTGTTCTTTTATACTTATTATATATCCGTCCTAGTTATCCTAATAAAAACTAATAATCTAGGAAAAAATAAATCTCATCTACCCATGATACGTACATAATATACATATGATATATATGCATAGCATATATATCATATATATATTTAGGACAACTGGGACGGGTAATCTAAACTCTTTCATTCGGCTTGCCAGGGTATGTTTTTCCGTCTCATTTCGCATCCTAGAAAAAAAACTTGGACGTGACTCCCAAAATATAAACCTATATACTATATATAGACTACTCGGACTTAACTATTTTGGCTGTGCCAGCTCTGCTGATCTATCTTGTTTTATATTGTCTAGTCTTTTCCGATGATATACCGATACTCTTGTCTGCAGAAACCATAACTGGAAAAAGTTAACTTACCACATTTTTTACAATGCACACATTCCCTAATTGCTAATCAAACCGTTGGCATGTGCTTTTGATAATGGCCACGATCATCATTCGAGTGACGACACGTTGTGCCTATCCTCAGCATGTGTCTCGGTCTCCCATGTGGCCAGATTATGGAATGCGCCAACTTAATGTGTCATGAAATATATATAAATCGTGACACCTTTGGTGTGTGGCTTAAAATGTGAATCACACCACCGACCAGACCACATAGATTTGCAGACTATAATAGTCTCAGGTGTGTGGCATGAAACAGAAAACGCACCATCCTGAGGTGTGGCCTAAAACATGAATCACGCCACACCTAAGACTATAATTATATAATCTCAAAACGACTTCACGTATAATTATATTCGCAAGAAAATTTATTGTTATTTATATTTGAAGAAATATAATACTTGACATTTTTCGAACCTGGTGTGCCCAAGAAATTAAAGATTGTTATGTATTATAAAAAAATTAAAAATGAAACTTTTATTCATGAAACAAGTAAAAAATTTAATATCCAGCTCAAGCAATTACGGGAATGGATAAATAAAAAAATAACCTAATTAAAACATCACCAAAGGCTTTAAATTACATAAAGGAAAATTACCCAAGTATCCACAATTAGAAGAAGCCTTATCTGATTGGATTAATAAACAACGGCAATTACAAAATCCTGTTACTAGAACATTGGTGATTACGAAGGCATTTTTCAATTGCTCGGAGTACTGATTTCCAAAATCTATCGGATATACAAAATTTTAAATTTTTGAATAGATGATTTTTTAGATGGCAAAAAAAAGGGTCGGATCATGTGATATTTGTGTATGTCCGGTTATTGTTAAAGATTGGGATTAGAGCTGGAGTCGGAATTATATGTAAAATTGTCTTTATTCTTTTTTTTTTAGTGTATCAAGCTTTCATTTTCTTGCTTCGGACTTGTTTTTCCGGGCTGATAAAAAATTTACGCATTTTTATTGGTTTGTGCCACCATTATCACGTGATCCGACCCTTCTTGCTCCAACTAGAGATATGATAAAGCGTTGTATTCACGTGATCAATCACCGATCAATGCTTTATAAGATCAGGATAAGGGTTAGGGTTAGGACTGGAGTAAAGGTTATATGTAAAATTGTCTTTTCGACATTTTTAATTAGTCTTTCAAGCTAGGTTTACCCATTCGTTTTCCGTATTTTTCATCTTTATTATTTTCTTGTGCCGGATTTGTTTTGCCTGGTTGATCAAAATTTGTGCATTCTTATTGGTGATCAACAAAATTTGCGCATTCTCATTGAATGGATTATCTGAAGGTACAGCGCTTTATTGTATTCTCATAACTAGAATATTATAATTTGTCAAATTAATGTCATATCAACATTAAAAGAAAAAAAAGTTTTTTTTTTTAATTAACATATTCAATATAATTATTCTTTATCTTTGATTGAAAATATGAATGAGAATTCTTGTTTTTGATTTGCCAAATCCAACAATTAACAAACATGATGCTTATACAATTAGTCTTTGAACTATGAATAATGTAAAAAAAAATTTCATTGTGATTCTTGAATGCATGAAACTAAAAAAAAATATCTTGAGAAATAATATATTTATTTGTATAAATGAAAAAGATTAGATTAATAAAGAAGAAATACTTTTATAAATTGAAAATATTTGAATTAAAGATTATTTTTAAATAATTCATATTCTTTTTAGTTTTTGATTCCTTTTGTACACATTTAGTTGATTCAATTAAATATAAACTTATTGAAGATAATATAAATCTTGCTATAATTCCTGGAAAGCTAATATCTAAATTGTAATCATTAAATGTTGTTATTAACAAAAGTTTTAAGATGAAAATATATATAAATTTTAATTATTATATTTTGTTTTTTTGTTATTTTATATATATATATTTAAAAATTAACTTTAAAAGATTTATGTATTATATAATTAATAGATATTAGAAAAAATTCATGAACTTACATTTTTAAATCATATTAAAAAATCATTATATTTATTACTTGTTAAATAGATAGAAATTGTGAATATTAGACAAAATTATTATATATATAAATAATAATTTCTTTTCTTGTTATTGTTAATTTAAGTAATAAAATTTATAAATAAAAATATACACTATAAAAAATATTCATGCATAAATTAAAAAGTATTTTACAAGAAGAAATATTAATATTTACTAATTTTCTTTCAGATTTCTGATTGAATATAAGTAATTTTCATTACTAATTAATGAATTACATACTGAGTTTTCTAAATTAACCAATAAAAATATATAAATTTTTAATTAATCTGGAAAAACAAATTTAATATAAGAAAATAAAAAAGATAAATAATGTAAAAAATACAGAAAATAAATGAATAAGACTGATTTTAAGCACAATAAAAATGTTAGAAAGACAATTTTATATATAATATTTTTCTAGTCCTAACCCTAATTCTTAATTCTAATACTATAACTAATCTTTAATATTCTTAACCAATTAGAAATTTGAAGAAAAATTAGTAAATACAAATACTATATAGACATTTACTAATTTCATCTCCTTCAAGTTCTGATTGGATACAAGTAATTTTCATTGCTAATTGGTTAATTGCAATAAAGATGTGTAAATTTTTTATTAATCTGATAAAACAAATTTGACACAAAAAAATTAAAAAGATGAATAATGTGAAAAATACAGAAAACAAATAGATAAATCTGGTTCAAAGCACTAATAAAAAATGTTGGAAAAACAATTTTATATATAATCTTTAACCCTAACCCTAACTCTTATTCCTAATGCTAAAATTAACCTTTAATATTCTTAATCAATCAGAACTTTGAGTGAAATTAGTAAATTCCTTAAGACTGGGTCCACGAGACTAATTTCATCAACACAGATACCATGGAGCACTAATAAAAAATTTTGGTAATGCAAATTTTAGCCTCACCCTAACCTTAACCCTAAAATCAACCTTTAATGTGTTATACAGTCATTCTTCCACATAATAATCACATTACATCTTGTATAGTCACTCTCTCGCACCTAAAGCGTAGGAAATTTGATCTCTATAATCATAACCTCTTTAAAATCAGTTTTTTCTGGTCCCGAGGGCGTAGGGACACGTGGAATGAATACTTGCTTTATCATCAAAAAATTTCTAAATAACAAAAGAAATTCGTAATCCTTGTAATATTTATTAATAATAAAAGCCGCAAATTTGGTAAAGTTGTATTCTCATGTAAAAAAAATCAGATTTAGTATTGAAGCATTTATTTCAGTATATATAAAAACGCTATTGTTTGATTTAATAAATACATATATATTCTACAAAAATATGTATATAACAATGATAAATAAATAGAGAATAAATAAATCGACTTTATTGCGAGGCTTTTTTGTCGCCTTTGTTCCAATTTTTGGGAGCTACACTCTTGGTTGCACCTTCGGGTGTCTAATAAAATGCAAAGTGAAAATGGTTAAAAAATATTCATATATAGAAAGATATCTATCAAAAAATACCAACCACGTAAGCAGAAGTAACTCCACCATCAACTTTAAAATCTGCGCCCGTTATATAACTTGCTTCGTCAGAAGCAAGGAAAAGGGCAGTTTGCGCGATTTCAATTGGTTCGCCTGAATTAAAATTTATTACAAGGCGAAAATTAAATGTTTTTCTTTGTTTAGTTATTTATTCATTATGATCTTGAAGATGTAGAATTATTAATTACCAAATCGTCCCATTGGTATATGAACTAATCTTCGTTGTTTCTTATCATCAGTGTTTAAGAAGTTTTGTAGCAATGGAGTGTTTAGAGGTCCGGGTGAAATTGTATTAACACGGACATTTTCACGTGCATGGGTAACTGCCAATTCTCGACTATGAAAATGACATTAATTATTAATGGATTTAATTATCATAAAAAGAATAATCAATCTTTAGATACCTCAAAGCCAAAACTGCACCTTTTGAGGCAGTGTCTATTTTGACGAAAGATTACATTAATTTCCAAGCCAATTTAATTGAAAACGAAGTAAAATCGACCTAAAAAACTTACAAGCTAACTGCGGAGTGGCCGCCCCAACACTTGCAACAAAACTCGCAGTGTTTATGATATTTCCACCTTTGCCATTTCTGCGAAATGCTTCGATAGCATACTTGGATCCAAACCAAACACTTTTAACATTAGTTTCAAAAGTGAGGTCCCTAACATTGCAATATCAAATATATATGTTATCATTTTGAGCACTTTAGTAGAATCTTGCGAATAATTTATAATTATTTACCAAACTTTTTCGTCTGTGCTCAATGCATTATCGTCATGTGGATGCATGATTCCTGCATTGTTGAACATAATATCAAGTCTGCCTATATGAGTAATATAGATATAGATAAAAAATTTGATTAATACTCTTCATTCAGTCTATTCATAATACACAAAAGATCCAATACCAACCAAACTCTCTCAACGCTGTCTCGACCATTTTTTTGACCTCCGCCTCTTTGGTAACATCAACTTTGTAAGCGATAGCATGCTTACTTAGATGAAGGGGTCCAATAACATCCTTTACTCTATCAACTGCTTTCTCGGCTGCTTTAAGCTCAATATCAGCGGCAACAACTCGCGCACCTTCTTTAGCAAATAAGACACAAGCTTCGAAACCAATACCACTAATGAAAATTCCAACATTATTTTTGATTCGAAATATTCGTAAATCAAAAGTCAGCCAGAATTTCAAGACATAATTTGGTGCAATGGTTTTACCCTCCAGCGCCTGTTATAATGGCAACTTTGTCTTCAAGACGTCCTTTAAGGTCTTTAAGAGCTTCTTTTACAGCAATTGCCATGGTTTGATGAAATAGAAATAGTTAAGATCTTGAGTGACAGAATTCCGTTTATATAATCTGTGCTCGGTTCCTGATCACATGCACATCACCAACTGCAAATTTTGATCAGCTCGGCAAAACAAATCCGACACAAATGTGAAAATGGCCCAAGTCTAACTTGGAGCTCTGATCAAAAATGTCGGGGAGGCATTTTACATACAACTCTAACCATAACCCTTTAATAGTTGTCGGCGCGCATATTATTTGCGCATTCCTATTGGTTTGTTATCATGTGATCAGGAACCGAGCATAGATTATAGAATTTTTTTCGGCAGATCAAAGTATACCAAACCTTCTCTGCACCATTACAATAGTTTTTTTTTTAGCTATTTTCACAGATTAACCTTCTGCATCATTATTTTGATCACTTTTCCCAATGATATACAGTCCACCCGTTGATATGACATCATCGGGACGAATACGTAATAACTAGAAGATAGTTTCATCGTACTGATGTCATTGGACTGTACACATGTAATTTTATTTCAAAGTAAAATATCCGCCAAGTATTCTATACAAAAATATTATAATGTTAAAGGGATAAACATATTAAAGAAAAAAAAACTAATTACAAAATACAGAATAAGAAAAGGGATGTAATTGTCATATAGCAGTGGTTGATGACGGTGGTGGTGATAATAACCCTTCAATTTCATCGAATAATACGACTTTAACGAAATTCCCATAACCAATTGCAATACCATCCTCTCCAATTTTAACTACTTGTCTCACAAACGCAAATGGTAAAAGTTCATTCATTTGAGCTTCTTCTTCATCAATCTGTGTTACCATTGCATTATAATTATTTATGGTGTTGTTAATATTATTCGGGTACACCCTGTGTAGTACAGTTCCACGCCGTCTTACATTCCGCTGCCGGTAATCAACGACTTGGCCAACGATTTGACTATGATCGTCTTCATCTTCGTGATATTCATCGTTTGAATGCTCGTGATCATGGTGTTCATTGTGTTCATGTGGCGATAAAGGAATAGTGGGTGTTGATGCGACTGGCGATGGTGTTAATTTATTAATATTAGTTCCATGACTTTTAGTGCTCCAATTATAACCATTTCTTGGTTGTGGAGTTACAAATTTTGGTATTTTATCTGATCTCCTAAAAGTTTTATCTCTTAGTTGTTCTTGTGCGATTGAATCGTTTTCATCGATTAAAGGTATTGTTCGCACTGATAGCTCCTTTACTTCCTCGTCAAAGTCAAACATATTATCAACATCAATATCATCGTCTTTATTATCATGAACATTGTCGTAGGCTTTTGGATCACTCAAATTAAATAACCAAACTTCCCATTCGCCTTCAGCACCATTACTTCTTTGCGGATTTGAAGTTGAATTTTTAATGTTTGATGTGTTCCTTAATTGCCGCACACCCATAATGTGTTCTCTTAAAAATACTATTGCTGAAGCGCCTAATTGATTAACTTGACCAATGAATTTTAATCGATAAGACACCAATTCATCCCATTGTAATACATCTTGGCTAGAATGTTCATTGATTGTATGATATTGATGCGGAGGATCATAATGTAACTCAGTTATTCGACTATCAAAAGCTGATAATCCTTTTGGAGTTATATTGCCTCCATCATATTTCGTTGACGGTGTCATCTGTAAAGCCATGCAACTACAATCCATCACATACCGAGCTAATTGCCAAAAGTGCACTTTCTCATCAAGTGAACTTGTAACTATCCAAAATCCACCGCCTGTTTCGACATTACCACATGGACAGCTTTGTTGTTCTAGTGGATGGATTATAATGCTCGTGATGGCTTTTTTATGAAAAATTTCTTCGTCAGATGATTCATCTGAATCATCGTCTAAATCATCATCTAAATCATCGTCTAAACCATCATCATCTGAATCATGATAAAAGTTATCATCTTCCAAGTCTAAATGTTCTTTCACAAGACCATTATTATTATTCACTCGTCTTTCTCGTAGCCATTGTTGTCTTTGTTGTTGCAATATTCTTGCTTGTAGTTTCTCTTGTTCGCGTCTTTGTCTCCATAAAGTACCACGACTTAATGAAGTGATATAACTGCCAGTCACATAATCGTACGCTCTTACTTCTCCATCTGCAGCCCCCGTAACAACTATCCCATAAAAATTCTTTTTGATCTTTATTACTTTATAAGCAATACTTGTAATGGCATTACCGGCCTGTCCGACAATCGTATACACTGGTTTCCATCGGCTTTTTGGTTTTTCCTTTTCTTCTGTCTCATTGGTGTAATAATTATTATTATTAAAAGTTTCTTTTTCATTAACAATCTTGCGTATCCAACATCGAACTGAACCATCTTTTGCACCAGAATATAGACGTAAATCTTTATTCGTGTGATTCTGATCTTCATCATCAACCACGCATAAACAACTAATACCGGACTTTTGGTTCGTGGCAATTGTATGCACGATTTTGCCCGAAACTAAATCCCATTCACGAATACACCCATCTCGATAAGCGGAAATAAGTATCGCAGGTTGGAATTTTCCAGTTAAAAATGGTTTGGATCTTGATGATTTTGATTTTGACATCGAAGGAATAGCAAACTTCAAACAAGTGACTCGCTCGTTTTGAGAATACCCAATCATTGCTGCCATTACAGATTCTACGTCATCAACTGTGTCTTTTAGTATATGAGTCGCCTGTCCCGAATTAATATCCCATACGCGAACAACACCATCTTCAAATCCTGCCGCGAAAAGTTCAGCTTTTTCACTCATACACATCGTTCTAACTGGCCAAGATATGCATTTTTTCATTCCGCCTGTTGTCCCACATTTGCATGTCGCGCAACGACGCATGTATCTTTCCAATTTCTTTAAAGGCACACCTTCTCGCCCATTCCATGAAGTTATATGTTTATCTGTGGCTGTAGAAATGACCATTCCACTCGAATTGGCACACAACAAATCAACGTCAGCAGAGTGACGACCACGTAAGGTGAGTACTCTTGGAAGAAAGCAACCAGAAGAATCAACGGATTTTTTACGAAATCGGATTATGGAATTCTTATTAATCAATCTCGAGAATCTATCCCTATTTCGATCAGGTGACATAAGAAAATGCAATAAGAATGCAATTCCAAATGCAATAGCCACAGCAGGAGCAAATACAAATTTGATGAACCAAACGGCTGTTTTAATAGTAATCACAATATAGCGCTTCAAATCGACAAAAGTGTAGCTAACTCTGTTTACTGGCGCTGATCCTCTATTACCATTTCCATCAGCCGGTTTTCCTCTTACTAGCGTGACAAGCTTTGTAGGTCGAATTTCCAGGTATCGAGGCGTTTTTGTGGGATTGACAATTTCCCAAAAAGCATTGGCAGTTGCTGCTGTATCAGCCTCCCAGAAAGTATTGTTAACTGGACTTGTCGTGCCAGGATTGAAATTCGTCATGAGGGATGTCGAAGTTTGTAAATTAACTGTAGATGGATAAAAGCATCGAATACCAATCATAACTATAAGAATCTAATAAATAGGAATTAGATGAATAAATAGGAATTAGATGACTAAATGCACGCATGCATTGCTCAAATAATTATTTACTTACTGCTAAAAAACTAGCAATCCTGCCTGGTGTTATGGAATTCCACATATCAAGTTTGTTATCTCTGCTTTTATTATTTGTTAACATGGGTCTTCTATTATATAAATCAGATATCTACAAGAATTAGAGGATAAACAAACATATTAATTACAAGAATTAGAGGATAAACAAACATATTAATTACAAGAGTTCGACTTATTCAAAAACAATATAAATAATTACCTCTAATCTACGAATATCGATCGATAAGGTCGTAATAAAGAATGACATTTGAAGAATGTAATCTATGATAACTGCAGCAAAAGTAAATAGGCAAAATTCTTGCACAGAATCAATATTTGTTGCAGAACAAATCAAGAGTATTAAGAGCTCCCATCCGAGATATTTGGTTATATGAAATCCGACATTTCCAAGTCCAATCGCGACACGCTCTTTAACTTCCAATTCCATAAATGTAGAAGTTACCGCATTTGTCAACAAGTAATAATTTTCCACCCCGATAATCATCATCATGAATGGAAAAATTTCCCTACAATTTTTAAACAGCTTTCCGAATTACAAATTAATGCTAATATTATACAATATAGTTGAATATTAAATGATGTACCCACCAGGGGACTAATGTCAATTTTACACCAAAAAGAGAACAAACGCTGAGTGATACTACCAGAGATGCAATTACTTGTGCAACCGCGGAGAATCCAAGTCCAAATTTTGACTTGACTAAATTTAATCTACCAAGCGAAAAAGAAATGTACAGAAATCCAACGAGATAACCAAGTGCTAATAAAAAGTATTCAGCGTTAATTTCGTAATGATTCCTTTTGAACTAGATTTTCGTTTTAATTTCAAGAAAAGACATTTCAATTAACTAATATATATATATATATTATATGATAAAGATAAAACTAAGATTGTTCTTACATCAAAGTATAAATGCTTTAATTCACCAAGAGTCGTAGTCTTCATGTCATTAATATTAGCGCCAGCAACATGGAATATATCTTCGTCTCTCGTTACTTTTTGCCACAAAAGCTCCCATATTTCAGTTGTTACTCCTTCTGCACAATCACCCTTATCTTCTAAAAAGTATGTCAATATAATTGATTCCGCACCAATTATTCTACCATTTTGCGCATATTTGGGATTTCCAAATACTGTTTCAATAGGAATGGGAATATTAAATGAAGATTTAGGATTGGACTTCGCCAAGGTATTTACTATTGCACTATCAGATCTTAGGCGCTCGGGACTATTCTCCCAAAATTCCATAGGCGAATGTATCAAACAAGGTTTATTGGGAAACGGTTTAAAACAAAGATCTGACAGCGTGTACTTATTCGGTGAGCTTGCTGACGAAGCAGTATCAGAGAGAGGAGTTAATGGTGAGGTAACATTTGTAGGGTAGATTATTTCGGTTTTGGCAATTAGATCTTGTAAATGCCAGGTCCAAAGCAAAAGACTTTTGTCCAAAACGCCTTCTCCTTGACCAATTCGATGTTTATGATGTGTCCCAGTTGCATTTATTACTATCTCTACAACGCGTAGAGAAGGTCGAGTTCCACATTTTTTAAAAAAAGATTCTTTGCTTAGGGGAGAGCGGGAAGAAGGCGACTCCCAGAAATAGGACTGGCCGTACGATTTATCAGCATTGAGATAATATGTTTCAAAAGCGGGATAAAAGAGTGGTAAGACTATGAAAATAATCAAGACGATTACGGTGACTTGGTGCGATGCGCAAAACTTTCCATGACGATAAAAAGCTTGCGACGCGACATGTTTAACACGCAAAACATAAGGCTCAAAAAACTTGAAAACGGGCATTCCCGTTAAGTGAAATAAAGTTATTCAATACACAAGCAAAAGTGTAATCGTGGAAAAGGAATGATCTAAACAAACTGATGTTGAGTATTGTCGTACCAAAATTTCATCCTGCATTCTAAAATTGTTAACTCTGTTAACTATTACCTTTGCCTCAGAAATTTGGTAAATTCAAATTTTCCTATTTTCCTTTACAAAATATTTAAAGTAACAGGGTGACTAACAGTTATTAAATCTTTTATTGATGTTAGGATATTCCGGCGTCTTTTCGTTGAAACACAAACTCCTATATTTGTAAAGAATCATTTTCTTGTAAAAAGAAATCCAAAATATTTATTTGTATTCCCAAAATAAAGGTGATTGTTTTCGAAGCAAACCAACCACTTTCGACGGGATAATGATTTAAGGCTGACTCTGATAGGTTCAAAAGTCTCTGAAAATACTGTAACGATAATATAAAATTGTCATAAAACAAATTTTCACTAAGTAGTGGTAGTGCTATTACTTTCATATCTGGGGATCGGTTAAAGCGTAGTCCATCCGATAATCTGTCCGAAAAACAAACCAATGAGGATGCGTAAATTTTTAATC